AGTAGATCACTTGATGCCTATCAAATGTTTCTTATTTATTAGAAAAAAAAATGTTGAAATGTGGTCAAGAAAACTGTTGGTGGCCCACTGCAAAAGTATATTGTATCATAGCTGCCTGCTCACGTCTCGGTGAGATGTTTGTCTCGGTCTCCCCGCCGCTTAGGTAACGATCGGGCGTGTTCGGTGAACACACGGGTATGATCTCGAGACTCTAGTTCATTTTACCCCTTTTAGTCGGGGCTTGTTTTGCGAGAAGCCAAATACTAGAAGCATTTCATGTAACAATTGGATAAATGACGTTAACCCCCTATTTCGACCCCGCTGAATCCGAAAATACCGTTTATCAAGTCGAAATTCCAACCGGAAGTGATATATTCAAGATGGCGTCCGAAATACCCCTAAAATCAAATTATTTTCTACTTTTGGTCAGGTATACGACTGAGGTGCCGAATGTCCATGTTTTCGGGGGTGTAGAACACGATGAGACACTAAAAAAATTATTTGGAGCATTGAAAGTTCATCAAATGATCAAGTTTCGACGAAATGGGCGAAAATCCCAAAAAACTTGTGAAAACGTGTTGTATATGCGCTTGCAATTTTAATCGGGTCTGGTAAATCAGGATACTGATCATGGACGTCAATCCACACTAGTACCTAATAAGAAAACAGAATAAAATAAAAATTCCTCGATTTTCTCTATTTTCTTGATTTTTTCTTGTTAATTTCACCTTTCAAGTGACACCGATCGAAGAATGTGTTGACGGAGGGCAGTCGTGGTAGGTGGCAAATGTCCCAAAAATTGCAACACGGGCTGCGTCTGCATGTCCGGTCCAACCTGACCTTTGTTTGGCGTTTATTGTCATGTTTAGCGCAAAATAAATGAATTGTTTTCAAAGATGGATGCTTCATTTTCACACTTCTTGGAGATATGCAGGTACCAGAGTATTCTCTTCGATTTCACTTTCGTTTACATTTCGCATATTGTTTGAATAATTCTGATACGAAATTTGAAAATAACAGTTGACAGTTAATACAATTGACAGGCCCGACATGTCTCAAATTACTAAAGCTGTGTGGTAATGTGTTAAAAAAATCGTGTTGCCATGGTAACGTGTTCAATATTTTGAATAAATCACAGATCGTCAACGCTAATTGCCATTTTAGTTATTTGAGTAGAAAAAAGATGTTCGTGTTTCGACTAATTGTACAGAACTTGTTTGACACCATGTTTGAACCTAATAAATGAGAAGCTGAATACATCAAGATCAAGATGATTGGTTGATTCACAAAGACTATTGAAAGTTTTGATACATCTTATTAACGGAGAGTTGAGGAGAAAATTTGTTGAGCAATGGGGAACTCTTAAAAGTTGATCTATGGTAAAAGTCCATGGTATCTCGAAGTGGAGTGAATAGATTCATAAACAAGACACACAAAGTCATCTCCACAAATTTATTGACTGAATAATCAGTATCTGTACATGTTTCGGACTATCAATAGTCCATCATCAGCAGCATATTTTAATTGACAATTTTCTACAAAGAAAGGTTTTTTATACAGAGTGGGCCTTTGAAAACGAAACAGGGTGATCAGAATTTTGAATCTTGAACCACCCTGTATTAGTTTCAAATAAATGTCAATAGATAGTGAATCACAAGTTGAGATAGGGACATGGGAGTCGTTTTGACCAATAATGAATAGTTTCGACACAAAAAAATGTTAAAGTTGAAAAATCTCGATTTTGAACACTTTATATCCCTGAAACCATTACAGCTAGACCCCAAGTGTGATGCATTGATGAAATCAGCTCTTCGGGGAGAATCTAAAAATGCATTAAAATACAAGGTGTTCCATTTGAAATAACAAAGTTGTTGCTTCTTTTCGTTAGCAGCGGCAACGCCGCAGGGCTGAAAATATTGTAGTACGATGTCCCCTTCGAAAATGTAGTTGACGTGTTTCAGATTTTTTTCATAATCCGGTTTTGGCGACCTACAGAGCCTCTGTTTCGTTTTCAAAGGCCCACTCTGTATAGTTACAAATGTTATGTTTAGGTTATGTATACTCACGTGGAAATGAAAAAAGGAGAAGTTAATAAAGTTATTGCATGATGCAATTTAAATTATGATAATAATAAAAATGAAGGGCAAATGGCCCAAGGCCCAAAGGGGCTTTATGGGGGATTCCAACACTTGTTCATCAAAGTGATCTTAAAAGTTGTCTATTCCTCATGTTGTGTTGCGAGCTATTGAGGTATTGAAGTATTGAGTGTTATTGATTCCTCGTTAAGTTAAGAGATAGCTTCATGCAACCGGCCCTGAATCTATCAATATCTGCCAATCTGAACATTATCCCCAACAACGACTAATGGACAATCGGTTTCCATTTCCATCATTTGATCTTCGACAATAATAATAATTCGCACATTTGAACGCAGATCTGTGGCTTGGAGAATGATTGATGCCGTGGCTAGCATGTGGGGTGACCGCATGACATGACATTTGCTGATCTCGTTCATTATATTATCCTGATGGAAGCCGATATTAAACGAATGAAATTAGTAGGCGATGAGACGTGCTTTGCAAACACTGATTCCACGAGTTGGATGCCGACAATAGGAAAAAATGGGGATGATTAGGGCGTCCATCAGAGAGATGGGATATTTCTGAACTCTGAATGTGTTGTCTGGCCTATGCACCTAACATCATTAATTGAGAGGTCAACTCGTTGTTGGTGATGGGAGAAGTTTAATTAGTATTTGAGGGTGTATTTTTTTATGGCTGTGAGCTCAGATCAGAATATATTCACGGCAAATGTACTCACGTACAAAACAAGGTTTTTAATCGATTTTCTTGTCTAGAGTAATTATGATTGAGATTTCGTCCAGAATGCTTCGGAATTTGAACATTTTCACAGGACCGGACAGATCTATCGATCTGAGTAGCAATCAAGCCAACTGACTGGATTAAAATATTTGATTGTTAGTGTGTTCGTAAACTTATCAAATACAAAAAGTCATCTACACTGCCGGTCATCTATCGAAAATTGTTATTATTACTTTGATCATCAGAAGGACAAGAATGGTTCAAGAAAAAAGTTAATTCAAAGGAACCTTATAGTATTGTTAAATACTTCAGCTACATTTCCTAACTCGCCTATCTACTTACCACTCTCAGAGATTATACAATCTCTGCCACTCTAAAATGTATATTTTCGTTAGGTATGTATTTTGAAATGAAAATTCGACAAGTGGGTGACTCAACTTTTAGACTTCAATTATGGTCAAGTACTTCTTGGTATTAAAACGGACGACTTTTGTGTCGGTTTTTTGATATTTTTTTGGTTATATATTTGAAGTAAGATTCGAATAATAAGTTGTTGTCCAACATGAAACCCAGGTATTTAAACTCTGTTACAAGATCAATTTTTAATTATTGATTTTTAATAGTTGAGTAAGGATTCTATTCGAACAATAAAAATAATAGTCCATTTGCCTATTGAAACTGAAATATCTCGAGTCCATTCTAGTTAAAGATGGGTCGCACTGAGGCAAAATGTTAATGTTATGATAGTTCATTACCAGGTGCCATTTTCTCACTTGAAGAAGCTACCGTGTCTCTAGGAAAATAATAATAATGATAATAATCTATACTAATATTATAAAGAGGAAAGATTTGATTGTTTGTTTGTTTGTTTGTATGTATTGAATAGGCTCCGAAACTACTTGATCGATTTGGCTGAAAATTGGTGGGGAGGTAGCTTAGAACCAGAAGAAGGTTACAGGATACTTTTTTCCAGGTACCATTAGGAAATTTAAGATGGCGGATCTAATATATCGAACGAGTTTTGTAATTATGGTCCGATACTATTCAAAATTGGTGTCTGGGGGTGGTCGCAGATTATGATTCTTTCGTCAGAATTTGAAAATTTGGGCAGAATTTGGAAATTCAAGATGGAGGAACCGATAAAGCGGACGAGTTTTGCAATGTTAATCCGATTCTTCTCAAGATTGGTACATAGGGGGTTTTCGTGATCGGGGATTATGATTCCTTCGTCAAAATTGAGAAATTCAAGATTGCTGATCCAGAATGGCGGATTTTGTAATAGAATCCGATTTAATTCAAATTTAGTATCTGGTGGTTCTCGGGGTCGGAGATTATGATTCTTCCGTCATAATTCGGAAATTCAAGATGGCAGACCCAATATGACGGACGAGTATTGATCCGACTCTCTTCAAAATTGTTATCTGGGTGTTTTCGAGGTCGGAGATTATGATTCTTTTGTCAAAATTTGGGAAGGGCGGGGATTTCAAGATGGTAGATCCAATATTGCGGACGAGTTTTGTTGTTTTATGTTCCGATTCTATTCAAAATTTTCTTCTGGGATTTTAGGAGTCGGATATTATGATTCTTTCGTTAGAATTGGGACTAAAAAGAAGTTGAAATAAATGGTAGTTTAAAAAATTGAAGAAACACGCTTTTATAATAGATAGCCAAACTAAAAAGGAGTATAAAATAAAATAATAATAGTGTCTTGATGAAGATTGAACTGATAAAATATATTATAGAAATAATGTATTCGCAGTGAAAAAAATCACAGCAAAAAATTCATTCATTACTCTATTACTATTCTTGAATACCTCTAAGCTTTCATATGCATCTGATTTTCTAATATTATCAACTTGCCTAACTAATTTGAGGTTAGTAATATGTGTGTGATGAGACTGATAAACGCTTTCAAAACCTATGTCTTTGAAAACCTTATCAAGTCCCTTCGTATACTTGGGATTGAACGGGATTGGAATTCTTCTAGAGTTCTTCATATCCACTTGAAAAGTCGTAGAATTTCGAAGTGTTAACTTAAATTTATGTCTACGTCATATTTTGTGAAACCTTATACCTATAAAGCTGTTTTTTAACCCAATCATCATCATCATCATCATTCTTGTTAATTTCTTCCACAATTTCGACATCTCCCGTGTATTTCCTTGACCTTGGAGATCCAGTATCGGCCAGCCGGGCGTGGACGTTCACGTGCGCCACGACATGGAGGGTCCCCCAGGCTCTGCTGCCGTCCTCCATCTGCAGTTCCTGGTGAACGAGGGGGCGCTGATCTCGGCCACGGCCGATGATACCCTCCACCTGTGGAACTTCCGGCAGAAGGTGCCGCAGATCGTGCAGAGCCTCAAGTTCCAGAAGGAGAAGTAAGGATGGGCCACCCTGTATAGTGCCCAACAATTGAAGTGGGACACCTGAAATTTTCGCTCGAGTTTGTAAGGTTATAACTTCTGAGAAAATGATCCGATTTCAATTCTGTTTCCAGAATTCAGAAGTCAATTCTATTGTCTCAAGATCCATGGATTCGAAGAACTGGGAATATCATTAATTGAAATTGTACAGGGCGATTAATGGCATACTGTGAACTTGCATCGACTTTGGAGTCATCCCATTCCGTCCAATTTTTTTTTCCTGCTTTCTTCATGATTTTCAATGAAGTTCAATAATATATCTCTGAATTGTTTTTGATTTTCATTGAGTTACGAGAGTATTTTGACAGTTGCGTACTCAATAGGAAGATTGAATCACACTTGATTCTCATATACTGACCAATACAGGGTGATTTTCAGAGTTCGGGTCAATAATTTCGAAGGAGTAATTCTCTTCTAACGTCACTGTAATTATCGAGGTATTTAGGTGACATTCAGAAAGAGTTTTGATCCAAGTACTATGATTACTGACCTATCGGGAAAATTGATATCATGAAGTTTCACATACCGTGTGTCCCATACGGAGTCACACTGAAACAATAAATGTTATTTTATGAGTGAAACTTTATAAGTAAAGACATTTCGAAGATAATCAACGCTCAAACACCTTATATAACTTTTGAAATTGCAGTATTCAACAGAAATGCTGTAATCCCTATCAATTCAGTGTTAAAATCGCTTCATGAAATATGTCTGAAACTTCATGAGATGAAATAAGGCTGAAAAAAATGCATACCCGAAATTGTATGGAAATTGTATGGAAAGTGTTTCAAGTGAGAGAAATTTTTATTTGAATTATGAACATTGATAACAGTTACAATTCAGTATTTTTTTGGCCCTCCTCTCGTTCGAATCAGAGCTGTTATCCTCCTAGGCACTCCCTCCACAAGATTTCTGATGAAGTTTTGGGGAATAGCATCCCATTCATCCAATATCGCAGTCGTCAATTCATCCAAATTATTAATTTCACCCTCTCTTTTTTTCACTCTGTATTGGTCATTGTATGGAAATAAAGTGATTCGATTTTTTTATGGAATACGCAAATGTGAAAATCCTCTCATAAAAATGAAACAAAAATTCGCTATTTTTGACACATTCCACTAAAAAATTCATATTGTCTATACAATGTGATCAATCAATGGAAATCAATAACCATTTCGAGATATAGCATTGAACTCCAGGAAACATCATGAAGAAAGCAGAAAAAAAAAAATTATGGACGGAATGGGGTGACCCCAAAGTCGATGCAAGTTTACAGTGTACCAATAATCGCTATGTACAATTTTAAATTATGATTTTTCCAGTTCTTCGAATTCTTGAGTCTCGAGAGAATAGAATGAGCTTCTGAATTCTGGAAACCGAAATCGGATCATTTTCTCAGAAGTTATAATCTTACATACTCGAGCGAAAATGTGTGTCCCATTTCAATTGTGCTGCACTGTAGTTATTCATACACCAAGATACAGAATATCAGTATCGCCCAGGAACCTAGATTATATCCTGAGGCTCAAGGCTTCAGTCTATAGGGTACTGAGGTGTATATTAATTGTTTTCTGTGTCGAGAAAATAGTTATTTATCCACGACAATTGTATAAGATATCCATAATACATGTACTTCCTCAAGCAAAACGGTAGCAATTATTCACACCAGTGAATAATAGCAGTGAATAACCATAATTCACTGGTCTAGAGTTCCTAGAGTACGCGATATAACATATAAGGAACTTTAGACCAGTAAATAATGGTTATTCACTGCCATTATTCACTGGTGTGGAAAATGGCTATCATTTTGCTTGGGGAAGTACCACAGTCTTGGATGAATAGTTGATATAACAGGTATCTTGAATTTTCTTCTTGATGTCAAATGAGTTATGATATAACAGTTGTTAAAAATAAATTTATACAGGGTGTTCCTTAAAGACATGCTGATATTCAAGGCGGTGATTCTATGACTAATTTTAAGGAAAAACTTCCCACTAACGTATGTCCTGAAAGTCTTAACTATTGAGATACAGGGTGATGAAGTTTAGAAAAATAATTAGTTTTTCAATAAGAACTGGGATAATATTGTAGACATCTTTATGAAATTTGGTACATATCTTCTATGCATCAAGGTGCGTTATTTTATGTATACAAATTTTCATTTCCTCTACCAGTGGCACCGTTAGGGGGTTATGATTGTTTATATTCTACTTGAAAGTGAACAACAAAAATATTTCCAGATTTCATGCAATGCTATGAAAAGTCATTCAATTTGGTACAAAAAAGTTCCTCCTGTTGATACCCGAAAGGATGCTTCGTTTCCGAGAGAAAACGGAAAAACGAGATCAGACTTCAAATTTTGATGTAAATGCTTAGCTGGACATCCATTACTGGATAAACCCAGTATGTAGAATCTTGAAATTTTTGCACCGTTTCAGTTACATAGCAGAATGAATTTTGCGATCAGAAAAAGCTATACGGGGTGGACAAAAAAATAATCTATGTAGTTTTTCGACTTGGATACCCTGTATCTCGAAAGTTAGAACTTTTACGACATACGTTCATATGAAGTATTGTTCTTGAAATGGGTCAAAGAATCGCCCCCTTGAAAATTAGCATGTCATTTAGGAACACCCTATATATCAAAGACAGTAGTCGTGGACAAAGTATAGTATTCTACTTGCATATAATGCTTGTTGATTAATATACTATTGGACTTCACAACTATCTATATCTCGGATATGGAGAGTTTTGGAATGGAAACGAACCTCTTCAATTTTTTCGAGATTTATTAAGATTTTTCATAAAAAAAGTAACCCACCCTGTACGAGTACGTACAAAGTGATTCTTTCAGTTCTTACACCGCTCATGATGTACATATATTGTTTCAGAATTACAGTTATGAACCTTCCAATGCAATCAAAATGGCTATACGTAGGCACAGAAAGAGGAAACGTCCATGTAGTTCAGATAGAAAACTTTCATCTTTCCGGATATATAATAAATTGGAATAAGACCATAGAAGTGTGAGTATAAATTATTTACATCGATATTTTTTTCTAATCTGACGAGTTGGTTCAAAAGTGATACTTGCATGTTACCATTACGGAAGTTCACAAAAATTGTTCAAAGTTGTCACTATACGTTTGCAGCATACTCATTGCACTACTAGCAAAAAATGAAATCATTTGATGGTTATACAGGTCTTCCAGCATATCTTCCTTATACTTCTTGAAATAAGTCGAACCAAATTCACAAACATTCCTGATCCTGATTCAGGTAATTAACCTACTCGTCATAAGATAAGAGCAAGTCTGGTCTTGAACATGCATCATATTTGAAAACACCTACAGAACACAACAAACATACAAAACATTTGACTTCCCTGATAACTCAGGTCACTAGTTCATAAAATCAACAGCAAACCATTTCTCAATATCCGAAGCATAGCACTCGACTTTCTATTAAACTAATCATCGATTGTATTCAATTACCTTGCGCCGCCGAAATTTGTATTTATATGGTTGCCTTTGCTTCCCTCAACTTTATCTCGTAACACCATATCTGTGCGAGTGGACTGACCTTTTCGAAGACGCAGGCTGTAACATGAAGTTCTAGTCATGTTGCAGCCATCTAGTGATGAGTGATATACCGGAAGCGTAGAGTTGTGCCAGTTGTCAACAGACCGAGAGCGGTTGATGAGACCTGGTGGGTCGAAACAGTACTGTCTCGCTCCTGCTGACAATTGGGGCAACTCTGTACAGTGTGTCCAGTTTTCGATGCTTTTGTGTGATATCTCAGTTATCTTTCGAGATAGAACCTTGCGGGTTTCGCGATCGTGTGCCACTTTTTTGTGAAACTCAAGATGGCCTAATCAAATTTTGCATAACTGTTTCCGTTTATGAGATACAGGGCGATTTTGAAAATTTATACTTTTTGGACCCCCTCTATATCTACGAAGTTTCTCAGCAAAAATGTCGAATTTAAATCTCATCCCATATGAAAGTTTACGCAGAATCCAGTGGCGCACTCAAAAATTTTTTTCGGGGTAAGATACGACTCAAACTTATGTTTTTTTAAATGGAACACCCTGTATTTTATAAGCTCATAAAATTCCTCATTTTTTTCTCTTCAAAATGATTCATAATGTATGTATATGAAATTTTCAAAAATGCTCCGAAATCACTGAAACATTGAATTTTAATTGTGGGCTATGGATTTTTCTTATAAAAAAGTTTCAATTGAAGAAATATTCATTTTGATTTTTCCATAAAGAGGACAAAAACAATACCAACATTAATTAACTAAGAAAACACAAAAATTATGTACCTGATAGCAATAAATAGATAGTAATAAAAATTTCATAATGTAGAATAAGCACCAGATTGAATATTTACAAATACAATTGAATTTCGGAATTATTCAATAACTTAATATTCACTGAATTGTTCAAATTGATGCCCATTTTCCATAACACACAATTGACATATTTTCTCAATACGTCTTGATACAGTAAGAGTCACAAATATCTTGAAGAACTTCGTGCAACAACAGATGCAGTTTTCCAGGAATTACAAAGACATCCTTTAATGATTTTGAATGCATTAAGACGTATTGAGAAAGCATGTGACGGAAATTTGATATCAATTTGAACAATTCAATGAATAAGTTACTGATTAATTTCGAAATTCAATTGTCTTATTGAATATTAAATCAGGTGCTTATTCTAGAATATGAACTTTTTATTACCATTCATTTGTTGCTATCAGGTACCTAATTAACTAGTGTTGGGATTGTTTTTGTCCTTTTCATGGAAGAATCAATTGAAATATTCTTCTTTTGGAACTTTTTTAAATGAAAAATCCATAGCCCACTATTAAAATTCAATGTTTTAGTGATTTTGGAGCATTTTTGGAAATTTTATACATATTCATCATATTTCATTTTGATGGGGAAAAAATAAGGAATTTAATGATCTTATAAAATACAGGGTGTTCCATTTGAAAAATCATAAGTTTGAGTCGTATCTCCGAAACCATACCCAGAAAAAAAAATTTGAGTGCGCCACTGAATTCTGCGCAAAATTCTGTATGGGATAAGATTCCAATTTGACATTTTCGCTGAGAAACTTCGTAGATATAGAGGGGGTCCAAAAAGTATAAATTTTCCGCTGTATCTCATGAACGCAAACAGTTATGCGAAATCTGATTAGGCCATCTTGAGTTTCACAAAAAAGTGGTACAGGACCGCGAAAACCGCAAGGTTCTATCTCGAAAGATAACTGAGATATCACACAAAAGCATCGAAAACTGGACACACTGTACATAGTTATGAGATCTAGCAGTTAAAAATAATAAGTCCATTCGCCTATTCTGAGAATCTAACGTGGTTCTGTAATAACTGATTCGTGTATCATTTTAGATCGAGAAAAACCCATCCCGGAGCGATAGCCCATCTCAGCGACAACCCCTTAGATGCCAGCAAAGTAGGTTCTTTACCTCGAAAACAAGCACCCTACTAACGGTATTTTCGTTTGCAGTTGTTGATAGGTTACGAGAGCGGTCTGGTGGTCCTGTGGGACCTTAGAAACAAAATGGCGGACATGCGATGGCAAACGAGCGAGCTGAGGTCGATCGCCTGGCACCATGAAGGCAAACAGTTTATGTGTTCCCACGCAGACGGCACTCTGACAACGTGGAGTCTGAAGTCGCCGATTAAATATGTCCATATATCTCAACCTCACGGTACACCTTGTATATCCCCAATGCACTGAGGATCGTTCAAACATTTTTTTTTTTCAGCTAAACTCAGCAAAGACGGGAAACCCGAACAGTGCAAACCGATAACCAAAGTCGAATGGAAATCTTCGAGGACGGGGTAACACAAAACACAATGCAGATTGGCAGAAGACATGTCATCTAGCTTTCTTTTTTTTCTCTGTTTTGTTTCAGGGAAGCATATGTGATATTTTCTGGTGGAATGCCTTACGACCAAGCCAACAGAACACCTTGTATAACAGTTGTATATAGTAAAACCACCACGGTGTTGGAGATGGAGCACAACGTCATTGATTTTGTGACGCTTTGCGAATCACCTTATGCCAGTGGTAAGATTCCAGATCAGATCAGAATATTCCTAGTTGGGGTCGTGTTCATACACTTCATACACTTTTTACACTTCATACACTTTTTTATACACTTCGTACACTTCATGCACTCTATACACTTTATAGGCTACACACTTTATAGACTATACACTTTATATACTTTAGCACTCTATACACTAGATTTCATGAACATTATACACTCTATAGACTTCACAAACTTCATGCACTTTATACACTCCATAAACTTCATACACTTTATTCATTTTATACACTATTCACTCCACACACTAAGACTGTATATCACGAAATTTAATAGTTCTCGCGACGACATATTTTTAGTCACGTAAATGCGGAATTTGGCCATGATTCAACCATCTTCGTATCACCTATAGTTTCCGATATCCCATTGGTGGCTCTCAAATTTGAATTGCCCATTATACTCGATTAGTTCCTATAAACCTGACTGTACTCCATACAATCTGTGAACTTCAGTTACTTTATACAGTTTTGACACGTTCTACAAGTCAAACACTTTCAACACTCATGTACTGAATACACTTTATACACTTTACTACACTATATTGGACTTCACTTTATTACAATTCACTACACTTTATTTCACTATATTCCACTATATTTCACTATATTACACTATATTACACTATATTACACTATATTACACTATATTACACTATACTACACTTAACTACACTTTATTTTAGTTTGTTTACTTTTCAGAACTGCAAGAACCGTACGCCATAATAGCCCTCCTCCAAAACGACCTCGTCGTCATGGACCTCCAGACGCCGGGCTTCCCCTGTCTTGAGAACCCCTACCCCATGGACATACACGAATCGCCTGTCACGTGTTGCAGCTACCTGGCCGACTGTCCCGCCGATCTGATTCCCGCTTTCTATTCGGTCGGCAGGGCGGGAGCGATGAAACGGACGGGGTTCTCGGAAATGGATTGGCCCGTCAGCGGCGGGTCGTGGCCGGCACACGCTTGCACCTACGCCGAAATCATCATGACGGGGTAAGAATCGAGAATGTTACATAGATGTCGCAGAGATGTCACTCGTGTATAACAGGAACGTGTCGAATATATCACAGCGACGTTATAGAATGGTCAAAAAGGGAAAAACAGGAATGATACGTGGATGTTACAGGAATGTAACATCGTGTGACAATTCCTTTTTGTAGCTTCTAATGCATATTGGAGATTGAAGTCGTCGAAAATATTATCTCTGAAGGCACGCGGACGATAGCATATAGTTCTAGTACCCGAGCCTTACAAGAAAGTCGCATGGTTATCACAGGGATGTCATAGAATTGTCAAATCGTGAAAATCAATAATGTTACGTGGATGTTACAGGGATATAACAACGTGTGACACATGAGGAAACACTCATATAGAATATATTACAGATTTGTCATAGATGGGGGTCGAATCGTGAAAACATGGATGTTACGTGGATGTTACAGGAATGTAAAATTTTGTGACATTGACTTTTTGTAGCTTTCAATGCATATCGGAGAAGTAATTAACCGAAAATTTCCCTTCGAAGCCACGCATACGGTAGCATTAGGTTCTGGGACGCGAGCGCCAACACCCTACAAGAAAGTCACATGGGTATCACAGGAAAATCTCATATATAATACAGAGATGTCATGAAATGATCTCATCGTGAGAAACAGGGATGTTAAGTGGATGTTACAGGGATGTAACATCGTGTGACATTGCCTTTTTGTAGCTTCCAATGCATCTCAGGGATGAAATTAACCGAAAATATTCTTCCCGATGGTAGCATAAAGTTCTGGGACGCGAGTAATGGCACCCCAAAATTCTTCTGCCAACTAAAAACCGCCAATGTGTACGAGAAGCTGTAATCTCTTCTTGGTTACAAGTATGTTATGAGATGATCACATCCTGAAAAACAGGAATGTTACGTGGATGTTACAGGAATGTTACATCGTGTGACATTGCGTTTCTGTAGTTTGTAATGCTCATCGGAAATAAAAAAAACCGGAAATATTTTTCAAGAAGGCATGTGGACAGTAGCATCGAATTCTGATACCCGGGAGCAAATGTCCTACAATAGTATATATGTATCTCATATGTCACAGAGATGTCATAGAATAGTTACATCGTGAAAAACAGGAATATCACGTAGATAGTACAGGCATGTAACATCGTGTGACATTGCTTTTCTGTAGCTTCTATTGCATATCGGAAATGAAAATATCCGAAAATATTGTTTCTGAAGGCACGTTGACGGTAGCATCGAGTTCTGGGACACGAGGGCAAATGCCCTACTAGAGTCACATGTCACATGGGTATCACAGGGACAACTCATATAGCATATATATATCATATATCACAGAGATGGCATGGAATAGTTACATTGTGGAAAACAGGAATGTCACGTGGATATAACAGGCATGTAACATCGTGTGACATTGCTTTTCAGTAGCTCCTTATGCATATCGGAGATGTAATTGACCGAAAATGTTTTCTCTGAAGGCACGCGGACGGTAGCATAAAGTTCTGGGACGCGAGCGCCGGCACCCTCCAAGTCCTCTACAAACTGAAGACCGCCAAGGTGTTCGAGAAACCGAAATCTCGCTCCTTGGACGCGGAAGACAATCCCTTCGCCGTGGAAATCATCTCGCTGTGTCCGGAATCGAGGAAGCTGTGCATCGCCGGCGCTTCCAGCCACCTGGTGCTCTTCAGCTACAAGAAGGTGGAGGTCAACGAGGAGGTGACCGTCCTCGAGATACCCATCGTGTACGAGGTGCCCGAAGACGCGGAGAATTCGCCTGACTGTCAGTTCGCCTCGGCTGGATTGGGGTCGGGGAATAGGCTGGACTTGCTGGATTCGGACAGTAGGAAGGTGAAAAAAAATTTTTTTGGCTTTTGAACTCCTTCAGAGAAATATTTGTGCGCCCCTTTAGTCTCTAAAATCGGAGACATTTCGGAAGACAGATCTTTTCTCACTTTTTTTGTCTAAGTAACATTATTGACATTTTAATGAGATATTTGTTGCTCCAAAATTAAACGAAAAAAATTGCTTTCGAAGAAATTACGGGTCCATAGGACAAGCAATTTTTTCTGTCAGTGTTTTCGAGTTGAATTTTTTAAAGGCAACAAAACTCGAGTAATAAATTTCAAGGTCACTTCGACCCAAAAACAATGCTCGAGTGTAATTCGGTAAGACAATTTGATGAATACGTAAATCACACTATTGTTGATGGTTTTTCCAATTTTTCTACTCGCAGACTTTCCAAATCGCGACATTTCCAAAGACTAGATACTTTTTTGACAACACAGGATTGATAAATATTTACATAAACATCATCAAATCTCTTTCGCAATTCTGGTTATCATGGTTTCGAATGTTAGGTTCCGTTTTGTCGCTGGAAAACTCAGGGTAAAGTTTTGTAGTTGTCATAATGACAAAATCACAGCGTCTTGTGGGATTTCCACAAATTTAGGAGAAAATTCGAAATTTTGACAGTATTCTTTTCCGACCCACTCAAAAAAATACTATCTCCTGAAGTTACAATTCCAATCCTCTTCTATATTGTCCTCTAATTTTATTTTTTTAGCTCCTAAGAAAATGATCCAGTACTCGTTTTACTTTCAGCTCGATTTCTTTCTTTCAGGAAGGGGCGACGCTGAAAGTCCGATCTGGCAATCAAAAAAAACTTCCCGGTTTCCAAGCTCAACTGGTGTGTCTCACCCCGTGGAACAACGGCGAACCACCCAGTCACATCTCATCTTTAGCCATAAATAGTTCGTATGGACTGTACGTAGAAAATTTCCTTCATAATACCAACTTTATCTAATGATAACAAAGAAAGATACGAGTTCGCGGCATTCCTTATCATCAGATGAGCTGCAAAGGTGTCAAATGTCAAAAAAAATCGGCGTCTTCTCTAGACCACTGCAAAAACTAGTTCCATATTCTTTAGCGTTTATAAGTTCGTCACAATCTATCATCAGCGTCAATGATGTCATCAATGTCAACTTTCATTACTGTAATTGTTGCCGGAAAATTGAAATACTTTTTTCTTTTTCATCTCTTATCTTTTTTGTGTTTATTGAACAATTCAAATATTCCTTTGAATTGTGAGTTGACATTGTACAGTAACAATATTATTGTCACCCATCCGAATTTCCCGGTATCATTGATAATAAGACAGTTGACATTGATGACATTAATGAAAAATTGCTGCCAACCTCAGAATGATCAAGAAGTGAAAGTGAGTTCTCTAAGCAGCGTTTTCTCATCGCTACACTGAGAAAAAAATAGAAAAACGGTTATTAAAAATTGAATAGGGGACAGCCTTGCTGTCTTATTAATGCCGCTGAGGGAGCTGCTCAACTAGTTTACGATTTTCAAGGTTATGTAGGTTTGACAGGAAAACAATTGAAATAAGTGTTTCCTCGAGTTGACCGTATAGCGGCACTACTGTATCGGCCACAGAAACCTGTAGATGATTTCCCTTGTTTGAGTAGACCAGATACTACAGCTCACTAGATTTTTTCTCCATATTTAGCAGACAATGGTGGTAATTATGTTTGATTGTCACTGCTTGTCTAGTGTCCGTACTCTAATATACAAAAAACGTCAAAACAGCAGTGGCAAGTACATTTAGGAATTCTATCTGAATCCTATTTCCGAAAATGTCATTTAATCCATTAGGGTGAAGTATTTTCATTGTTCTTATTCAAATGTCTGTGTATTATCATACTCCGAACCATCGTTACCTATCATAAGACCTTGTGAAATCCCAGCTGCTTAGTGCTCAGAGTGGTTGTGCTTGAATTGCCAATTGCAGGAAAGAGCTCTCCACTGCGAAATAAGTTCTATTCCTAATTATACCGTATTCCATTCATACCATTTGTAGGCTATTTGTTTCTCTAATTCGCGAATAATTAAAGACATCCGGTGATGCTCGACTTTGTTTTCGAGAACTGTAGAGGGGAATTTGTTGTTTTAATGGGGCTGTTAAACCCTGAAATTCAGATCTTTAATATCGCTCTTGCCAATGTTGATGTTTATGATATCCATTAGGTGGGATTTACGAGGTAGAAGCTGTTTTATTGGCGTGGGACGATTCCCGTTGAAGGATTGCTGACCTCATCAAAATTTGATGTTCGACAATATAAAAATAATTCGAGATGGAAACTGTATCTTTCTTCGTTGCTCTGAGTTGCCGGTTGTTTGTCTCTGCCAAAGCTCGAGAGACATTTTATCGTTCACACCATCATTATTCGTCATTGGATCCACATTGTAAGACAAGTTCTGAGAAGTTTTTCAACATCATTAACTTGTTAACAAGAAGTGCAAGATGTTCTTTGAATCTGTTATCAAGGGTTTTTCTAGTTTGACCTACATAGTCTGCTGATCAACCGCAACAAGCACATTTTTGCACTTACTTCAACATAGAATATTTTCGCAATAGCTCCACAAAATGGGATGCGGTTTTATCATTTCGAATGTAAATTCATTGGGTGTATGACAGCTAGGTCGCTGATGATATATGGTGAAATCTGGTTGTACAGGCTTAGAAAGAAACCTCTGGAAGATATTGAAAAATTATCCATGCTCCCAAACTGATGGAAAACTGTTGGGATTTTATTGCAATCATATTTTCATAATGCTCAAGCATATTTCTCTGAATGGTTTTGCAATTATTTTCCTCTCATCTCTTTGAGCATTCAAAAAAACATTTTTCGGAAAAAGTGGAGCAGGATATTGTGTATCACTTTCGTATATTCTACACTGAGCAACATTCCATCGATGATAGTTATAGGTCATTGTTGAATGATATATCACAAAAATGTATGAACTTCCTCAGTTTCTTTGAATACAAATTCCATCGTTCTCGGTATATCACCCTTTTATTCTGTCTCTCGTTTTTTCGTGGAACCTCGATGAAAAATCTTCATTCAATCTCGAATACTGTACAAGTTGATCACTGTGTTGATAATAATAATAAAAATAATAATAATGATAATAATAATAATATTTATTTCATTCTTTGCTATGAATATTACATTGCATTTTATATTTTATTAAGGTTTACATTGTAATAACATGAATAATCAGACAGATTTATATCTGGTATGAGATTATTAATGCGTTATTAAATCCAAGTTATTGAAATAAACAACAAATACAAAAATAATAATAATGATAAAATCTCATATAAAGGAGATTATGACATGATGAAATTAATTATTGAATGAGAAATCATTCACTCAGGTTTGATTTTCTCTTTCCAACAGGATATGTTTCTTGACTTCAATATTGAATTGGGTGATATTTTTGTCCAACTTTTTCGACCAAGTGTAGAATTAGCAGCATTAAGATGAAACAAGTCATATTGTCTAGTATGAAGTTTATGGATTTGGGACTTTTGGGAATTCCCGAATTTTGTGCATAATATTTGAATTTAGTGCAAAAATGTTTGAATTTTATGCAATTTATTCATATTCAGCGCGAAAATGTTTCAATGCAGTGCTAAAATGTTTGAATTTAGTGCCGAAATGTCTGAATTCAAGCAAGAATGTTGAACTTACTGCAACAATGTTCGAATGTAGTGCATTATGTTCGAATTTCGTGCATAATGTTAGAATTCAGTGCGTAAATGATAAAATTTATTGCAAAAAAGTTTGAATTTATTCGTATTCTGTGCGAAAATGTTTCAATTCAGTACTAAATTGTTTGAATTCAGTGTGAATATGTTTGAATTCAATGCAATGAGTTTGAATTTGGTGCAAAAATATATTTGATTCTGTGCAAAAATGTTTGAATTCATTGAAATGTTTGAATCCATTGCAAATATTTTCCAATTTAGTGCAATATTTAAATTCAATGCAAACATGTTGGAGTTTAGTGCAAATATGTTTGAATGTTGTGAGGGAATATACGAATTTAGTGCAACAATGTTCGAGTTCAGTGCAATATGTTCAAATTTTGTGCATAATATTTGAATTTAGTGCAAAAATATTTGAATTTTGTGCAATTCATTCGTATTTAGTGCGAAAGTGTTTCAATTCAGTGCTGAACTGTTTGATTTTTGTGCAAAAATGTTTGAATTCAATGCAATAAGTTTGAATTTGGTGCAAAAATGTTTTTAGTTTTGTGCAAAAATATTTGAATTCATTGAAATGTTTGAATCTATTGCAAATATATGTTTGAATTCAGTGCAATATTTAAATTCCATGGAAAAATTTTTGAATTCAGTTCAAAAATGTTTGAATTTAGTGCAAAGAAGTTTGAATTCAGTACGAAAATGTTTGAATTTTGGTGGAATATAATTGAATTCAGTGCGAAAATGTTTCAATTCAGTCCTAAAATATTTGGATTCAGTGCAAAAAAGTTTAATTCACTCTTAAAATGTGCTTGTTGTGGTTCAATTGACCAACGGTTCATTTAACATTGTAAACCTGTCGATCCTCGAGTCTTGGCGAAATGGATGATTCTCTATAAAGCGGCGTTCACACCAAAACTTTTTACATTTCGCATTTTACGTTTCGTATTCTGATTGGTGAAGCAGAATCTGGAATTAAACGTGAATTTAATTCATGCAAATGACATTCACAACAAAATAAATGACGTGACTTTCTACGGCTTTCCTCAGTTGCCTTGGTTTTGTAATTTGTGTTTCATATCCTGAAATGATGTTAAATAATCATGACAATAATATCGATTAGATAATTAATAATATTCATATAACTGGCGGTGACGTAAATTGATCCTTATTCAATATTTATTCAATACTTGAAGAGAAAAATCAATCCACAAGAAGAAGATGATAAATTGAACAGTATACCTATCTAATATTCCGTGAATTTACGAAAAAATCATGAGCAAAAACATTATCATAACTTCAATATAGAATATCATTTGTCTATTTTTACTATTTTCACAGACGATGGCTTCTTGCAACTCAAAAAGCTGAAAATTTTCAGCATTTTGCGTCATTTCAATTACAGATTTTGTTTCACCAATCAGAATACGAAACGTAAAAAGTTTGGTTGTGAACGCCGCTTAAGAGACCGTAGCGACCATCGACTATTTTTCCTTAGGATGGCCTACGGCAACGAGGCGGGCATCGTGATAGTGGACATCGAGCAGAAGATCTGCCTGCTGAACATCGGCAGCCCGGACATGTACGGCTCGCAGGACCCCTATTCGCGCATGCCCAAGAGTCCGAAGAAGGGCCAGCAGTTCTCGGAGAGTCTGCCGGTGAACGATCGGGAGGAGCGGCAACCGCGCAGCCCCAGCATCGATCAGGTCAGTGGCGTGTGAGCGGTCAGGTGTGTGATGTGATGTCTCTCTCCGGATCATTTTGTGTTTCACAGCATGATAATACTTTTTTACTGGATTTTCGATTTTTTTTTTTCATTATACACGGTTTTTCACGGTGGATGGCACCCTATAGGAGTGTATGGAGAACCGAAGAACAGATCATTTCGAAAATTTGTGAGCGTAGATAAATTCAAGCTTGCTTCATCCAACTAATATATTTTCAACAATACAGTGTTGCAGCTTATATCAGAAGGTAATAGCTACTTCGTTATGTAATTTTTGGAATCCTTCTAAAATTTTGTGTAGAAAACTAACCCATGAAAAATAACGATTATTTAACAATGCAACTTCACAATACATTGCAATTTGGGACATTTGGGTCATAGCTGCATAAGAAAATCAAGTATTGTGCTGGATCCCAATTTAAGCATTCGGGAACTCATGAAAATGACTGAAACTCGGTTTTTTGAAATAGAATATCTATCCTGTGTATTATTACTTATTTGGCAAGTTGAGACCATTTAACTGTGTATAAGATCCCTATACCTATCTCGTACAGTTTGTTAGTTATGTTCATTTATGTTTAATCTTCAATAAAATTATTACTGGATAGTGACTCAAATAATAAGCTACATAAACTTAATTCTGACAGAGAACTGACATCCTTAATTATCATCCTGTGAATTCATGGTCCATAGGAGTAAAAGTACTATGACAGAAAATAATTACTGAAATGCGATTTTGATGGATTTATTCATCACTTTGCTCGATGTAACAAGAATGTTGACAGAACATGCCAGGAGTATCCTGATTCACTTCGAATGAATTTGAGACAGTTCGTTGGGTACAAATTTTGAATTGAAAAGCTGTATAGACGTACGTGAGCTCTAAACCTGATTGTCCCTGAAATACATGCGTGGTCATCCCATGGAGTAGCAGCCGAATCACCATTGCAGAGAGTAGTAGGACTAATGGTTCTCAGAGTGCAATCCACGACCCACTAAAAAACCAAGTCTCAGAGGCACGTATATTTGGCGCCCAACGTGGGGCGAATCAATTTGTGACTACTGATACATTTATTTCCAGAAACATAGGGAACATAAACCATGAACTAAAATTACAAATTTAACTGAATACAATTACAAAGTCTTTGATCCGCCGCAATTCATGAATTTAGGATAAACTTTAATATACGAGTAGACTGTGCACTCACTCTGAGAACCATTAGTCATACTACTCTCTGCGATGGTGATTCGGCTGCTACTCCATGGGATGACCACGCATGTATTTCAGGGACAATCAGGTTCAGAGCTCACGTACTCTACAGCAGAAGTTGAACATATTTAAATGTGTATCAATGAATCTAGAAGGATGTAACGGTGCTGAATCATTTCAAAAAATGTTCAAAATGATTATCATTACTACACTCAATCCGATGAACTTTCTCAAATTAATTTAACGCCTGGCTTCTGGCTCCTGATCTCCTATAACATTCTTGTAACATTGATCAAAAATGTTGAATTAATCCATCAAGAACACACTTGAGTAATTATTTTCTGTCATGGTAACTACCTTCAGAACCTTGGAACTTAAATTCGGATGACTCTGTCAAAATGAAGTTCATAGCCTACTATATACTATATATAAATCTCTATCCAGTGATAATTTTATTGATGATAAATTCATAACATAAATGGTCATACTAACTATCAGACTGTACGAGATAAATATATATATTATACACGGTTAAATGGTAAAATGTCTCAACTTTCCGAATAAGTAATGATTCCATTTAAAAAACTGACTTCCAGACATTTTCATGAGTTCCCGAAAGAAAATCACTTCTGAACCTCCTTGCATGCTGAAATTGAGATCCAGTTCATTGGCAGAATACTTGATGGTCTTATGCAGGCAGCTATGACCCGAATTGCATTTTTTTGTGAATTAGCAATGTGAAAAAATCGTTATTTTTCATGGGTTAGCTTTTGCACAAAAATATTATTCATTTTCATCACGAAAAATGTTATGGATATGTATAGAGAATTATTATGAAAAGTTATGAGGGATGTTATAAGGATTCCAAAAATGGCATTGCAAAGTAGCTACCTACTACTTGTTGATATAAACTGCAACACTGTTTGGTTGAAAATGTTTCAGACGGATAAACCATGCTTGATTATCCACGCCCACACGTTCTCGAAATGATCGGTCGTTCGGTTCTCAAGATACTTCTAATGTTCCATCCATCGCGAAACACCGTATATAGATATTTCATTTCTAGCTATCATGATGAGTTTACACGAGTTTCGTTCAAGAACTGATATTATTCGCCCGCGAGAGTTTTTGTTTTTGGCAGCTAAGCTTTGTTGTAGGAAGGTCGAACACCCATTCACTCGTAGCGATTATAAAATTCACCTAATTCCATAATTTCTTCCCAGTATAATGACTGATAAATTCATATCTATGTCAATTCGGTGCATTGAATGCTATGTTAATGAGAAGATTACCATACTAGTGTTACTTTTGCTATTTTTATTCTGGATTGTAAAATTTCATGAAACGAATTTTCACTTACAAAATGCTGGAAGCCCTTGACATCGTTCTCGATGTGAATGTATCTTAAGTTCTCGTTCTCAATTTCCGATGTACAGGTTGTCTTTATTTACTTTGGTTCTCACAGGCAGTATAAGAGATTCTGTAGAAATTGATGAAAAATTCTAAGTACTTCTAACTCCCATAATAAACCCTGTATGAAGATATCAAATTATAAAAGACAACCTATACATTGCACAAACCTACGGTACCATTCATAGTATCCATCGTTAATCACGTGACTTCACCTTTGCTAAAGGCATCAGGCCTAGATAAATAAAAATATCTTGATTTCGGTTTCATCTATCTGCTATAGTATACCATGTAACAATTTGGAAATTTGGTCAATATCAACTAACTCCCACCTACCTCATCAGACCAGCAGTTATTGCTCGGTAGCAAGTTTTTTCCTTCAATAACATCTGAAACAAAAATTCCAGATGTTTAATAAGTATCTAGGTTTTTACTGACCAAATTTCTCAGATAAATCAAGCAATTCAACGTTTCCAGAAGGAAGTGAGTTTTTACTTTGCCAAATAAAACATCATCGATGGTGTAAAACTGTGGAAAACTCCATCATCCCTTTTCATATAATTTATATCCTTTTTGGAATAAATAACCTAAAAAAATAGTGGTATTTCGAGACTATTCTACGTTTTAATCAACCAAATTTCTTCGATATATCAAGTAATGACGTTAATGCAGATACGATAAATGAGACTACTTTATGAATGCCTTTGCTCTCTTATTCATATAGCATATTGATTTCTGAAATCACTTTTCTGAGAGAAAATGAAGGTATTTGGAGAAAAGAATGAGCTTCTTGTTTTTTTCGATCACTTGATCAGAAACTCCTCATTTGTACCGAATTTAGAGATGAACATTGCAAGTTTTCTCTCAATACTTCTTGATCTACCTCAGTTTCTCAAAATACTATGTGAAACTATTGTTTCCTGTCGATAATACCTGATTATCTTTGAAATTGCATTTTTGTGGTGGTTCGAAAGGTGGGAGATGGTTCGGTATTCCATAATATGAAGCTCTGTAGCCAATTTTACAAATTTTCAGCTAGTATGCAACCGATCCAACTTCGAAACGAGAGTAACGATTTTATCATCCTTTCTACAACATTCGTTGTGCCGCTACCATCTTCGTTTCATATGAATTTAGCCCGCCTGAAAACTAACAAAAAGTAACGAGACTTATATCATCATCATCCCGCAACATTTTCTTTGATTTCGCCACATTTACCACTAAGTTGCTCGATTCGGCCACCTTCTTAACCAAAAAAAAATCCTCCGAAACTTTGTGCATGATTTAGATGGGAAGGTCCCCAGAAAGCCCATTTTCCTTTGCCCCTTGCCCCACACCCGTAGAGCAAGCGCGCGAAGCCCTCGAAGAAGAAGCAGAAGCAGACGAAGAACGATCAGTGCCCATACCGCAAACCCGTCGAAAATCTTCAACGTGGAAGAAGGGTTTCAATCTGAAACGTCAATTATCCAAAGTCGACCTCATCAAGATGAGGAATCCTCTGAAGGAGAAGAGGGGCAGCGTTTTTTACGCTGAGGAAGTAATGGACAATGTCGAGGAGATCGAAAAATCTTCTCCTGAATCAGACGACAACACCGTCATAGATTTGACAGTGAAAAACGAGCAAACCGAGGACCACAACGATTTGGACAGTTTTTCGCCTGACGAGGAGCCCGAAGTGCCCTTCTTGGTGGGGTCCTTGGACGCCCAAGGGGACTACCCGAATTTCAGGAAGATGAGCAGTCTGCCCAGACCCGACAACTTGGATTTGACGGGGGAAGATGGCGCTCCCGTCAGGCCGCCCAGGCAGAGAAAGAGGCGACAGGAGAAGCGCGATCAGCGGTTGCTTTCAGTGCCGAATATTAAGTTTCAGAGGGCCGAGGTGCAGAGTTTTAGGGACTTGAGGGATAAGGAGGAGAGTGCTGTCGTTAGTCCGCAGCCGAGTTTCACGGGGAATCTGATGAGGCGTTTCAGTAAGTGTCAAATGCGAGGTCTTGTGTCGGTCCTTTTTTGTTCCTTTTCTTTTTTGTTTTTCTCCGTCCTTTGACCACCTTTTGACGGCCGGTGGAACGGTCAAATGGGAAATTATGCTTGGGGTCGAAAAATGCATAGTGTAAATAGGCATTGTGGAATTTGTGTTCGTCAATTAAATGATGGAATTATTTCACATTTACCGCAGTAATTCCACAAGATTCATGTAATAAAACCATGTTGAACATTCACATTGAAATAGGTGAAGGCCAAGAGTATTAATAAATATAATGCTTCAGGCATAGCCCACTAATTTCTAGAAGAAATATAGGGTTCATCACGATATGAATGCCTGGAACATTTCATTTCACGCCTTTTGAAGAGAGTGGACAAGCTTATCATGTATTTTAACAGATGAACAAAAATCATGAGACACAAATATAATTTAAAAGAGATGGAATGCTATTTTTCTGTACCCCATCGTCGAAAGAGTGCGAAACCCTAAGAGTGGCGTTAACATCAAAGTCACATAAAGCTCGTTTTGTAGTTATATCAATATCATATCATCAAATGTATTTCCATGAAATGAATATCGGAATTTGGAACTTTAACGAACACATGAAATGTCTTCTCGTTTTTGGTCAACTCAAATATAAATATTAACCATAATTCTTAGAATATTTGCAATTCGTTACCGAAAACATTTTCGTGGGGATAATTGAATAGGTTCAATTTTCATAACTGACGCTTCAAATCTGAGAATGGATGACAATTCAGAAATGTCACTAGTAGCAGTAGTAGCGAACGTGTCCACACTCGTTAAAGGGCATTTAATGATATGTTCGAGACACTCTAATCACGATGAGAAAAGGCTCAGATATTTTCTTCGATTTTTGTATTATTTCTTGATTATAAAATAATATGCATCATTTCAAAGAAGAGAAAATTACGTATTCAACGAAATTATAAAAAGCCATTGAAAATACATAAGTTTGTGTTGTATCTTCAAAATACCCTGAAAAAATTCTTCTTCTCAAAATTCTTTCTTCTTCTCATTCGAAAAGTTGTGGGTACATAAAAAAATATTCAAAAAAAATATAAATTCAGGCATTTTCACTTCAAGATTGAACTTTCTTGTTCGATAAGAATTTTACACTAAAGATAAATTATCTTGAAACATCAAAACTGATAAATAGTGATTAAAAGTCTGAACAATAATGCATCAGTATTTCATATCAGTTGTATCACTGTGGTGAATTACAAAGTGACGATTATTTTATAATTCACCTGTAAATAATTGTAACGAAATAATTTCTAAAATAATTCACATTTGACTGTTCCACTTCATAAGTTCCGATTTTAGAAGTGCCTGTGTAGAGTGATTTTCTCCATTCAAACACATTCGATGAAAATTATGTATACATACTAGTCGAGGAATGTTATGAAAAATAGCAGTTTTGTTTCAGTAGAATAGCGTCCAAATGGAATTTTGTATTTTGAACTGATTAGTAAAGAAACATACCAACATCTACGCCGACACTATTTCAATTTTGGTTTTGGAAATCCTTGTTTCTGTTTTCCTCGTATCGCTTATTTGCTGATCTTTGCTTTATTTGTTTTCATCAATACAACTCGAGGATTCGTTCGTTTCGTTATTCCCACTGGAGTTTTTGGATAATTGTAAAAAATGTATGTCTTTATGTGTATCTATCTTAATATGAGGAAAAGTAAATCAAACACTATTCTCAAACCCATTTGCTATAGCAGTTGTCATCTTGACTCGTCATTTTGTATTTAAAAGTAATATCAAAACATTCAAATTGATAGCATACATATTTTCTTATTCCATCGATAGTTTCGATTAAATATGTTGTCACTTTGGTGGCAAGAAAGAGGTTGTTTGAGAGTTGGAAAGCAATTCTTCAAAATTCAGAATTATTAGTGGCGTACCACAAGGAACGGTTTTTGTCCCCTTGTTGTTCACGCACTGCACATGAATAGTATTCATTATGGATTCTTATGGCGAATGATCCTAGAATCCATTAATATTAGTCACTATAGTTGTAACCAAAAAATTTCACACTTACTCTTATCATTGCACTGTTTGCTCTACTTTTCCTCTTCTCGTTTTAGAGACTGTTTTACTAACGCTTTCTTCCAGCGACGGGCGACGGTGGGTTTTTGACTTTGCTCTCGATGGCTTTGGCGCGTTTTAAAGGGCGAGGACGGCATTCTAGGTCGCCTAGCGCATCTGTCAAGAAGGCTTTGGGGTAGGAGGCAATCTAGCGTAGCGTAGAATTCACTCGCATCGGCATTCGTGCGGAGAAAAATGTTAGTATCGGACATACTTGAGATAACGTCACCTGGTGGCGGAACTCGTAACTGAGCTAAATTCTATAAGGTTTAATCTAGCTCGTGCGCGATTGCATCGGAAAGCAGTGTTGAAGCGCAGTTTGACCGTTAGTAGTGTGTCTATGCCGGTTCTGGGCCCCTGTACTCCATTTTCCCCCTCTTACGTGTACACATCGTGATTTTTCAAGGATGTTTACACTTTTCACGTATTTTACGGTTTATACGTGTTTTATGACGTTCATTTCACTATTAAGAAAATGTAATTTGTGGGAATGACTTTTCGACTGAGCTTTTGCTTTCCGTTGATATTTCAATTAACTTTGAGCATTTTGCTACTTCGTAGTTGGAATGACGCCAGTTAAGCAATCATCTACTGCCATTTTTTAACTTTAGTTTTGAAGTCTTCCTTTTCTTCTGCTGTAGATGTCGCTGTTTCAAGATGGCAATGGAAAGCATCTATGAGCGTATAAATGCTTATCGAGTTTTTTTTTTCGTCAAGAGCCTGAAACCGGTCTGTAGGTGTCAAGATTTAACCTCTTGACATTTAGAATTTTTTCCGATGTTCTGCGTAGCATTAACTAGAAAAGTATCTTTTTTGCTCTTGCTAGTGTTGGATGTGTAAAAATCTATTAAATAACAGTAACGTGGAAATACCGTGAAAATCACGTGAAAATAACGTGGTCATAACGTGGAAACGATGTGATTCACACGTACGATCGAAATAAGAGTGGCACGTTAATTCCGTACCAGCATAGACTTACTCCACCACGAATTCACAAAATATCTAGGAACTGAGAAACATACGAAGCGTATGGCAACGTCGCTTTTTCAAAATGCTCATGCATACGTATGTATGTATGTATAACCCATTCGGTTGAACCAGGTGACAAAATCGATGAGTATTTTGATTGCCAAGTTTTTCTCCCATCGGCTATCGATGGTGTTAGTCTGAGTTTGTTTCTTCGGAGCACTAGAAGGCGTGATCATGTCAGTCACGCCTCCTATTGGTTCTCTCTAGGACTGACGAAGCTACTAAAACGAGTGATCCCTGCGTAGAACTAGCCCTATAGCGCCACGCCACCTAGTAGCCAATTTAGACAGCTGAGCAGCCTTACTGAATAATCCTGCGAAGATAAAGTTACGACAAGGTCCACTTTGTGTTTTTGAACCGTTCCAGCTTAGACTCGGCCGAAAAGAAATATGGTTAATATGTTTTATTTTAAATTTTACATTATCAAAGATGATCCGATTCAAGTTTTCGATGTTGGCATCATCGATATAAATCAGGCAGGTTTGTTCAGGTTTTTTCTTATACGTATACATATGCAAATGAAGATGTTTTTTCTTCTCATCTGATAAACGTCATAGGCGATCGGTAAATAGCCTATTTTGTCATATAAATTATCCATAAGAAAATTCAAGGTTCATTCTGATAATTTTTTGTTCTTATTGGCGGGTGAGACGTTGACTGGCTGGTGACTATCAGGTGATTGGCGAGTGAGCGAGTGAAAAGTGGATGTAAATGAATGGGATTCGTGACATATGAGGTATCTGGTTTGAATTTTGGTCTCTATGCGTGATGGTTTTGGCGCTTTTTTATGCGTTTTCACTTGTTTTCACCTGTTTTTCACCCGTCATAGTCAGCACATGACCTTGAAAGGTACTAAAAATCCACAACGAACCGTAACTTTTCTATGGAGATTTAGATGGGAAAACAGGGCGAAATGATACCGAATTGGTATAGCCTATTTACTCTCATAGAAATATAAATATGACATCTCATATTTCGTCTTCATGCCTAAGTCACATTCCTGTTTGGCTGAATAAGTTCAGTATCTCAATTCAATGATAGCATCTGAACTAGATTAGATAATTTAGAAAGGAAATTCATCTAAGACAAGCTGGAAGTCCATAAGATTCTTAACTGATTGAACCAATTGGATCTTCTTGTTTCTTTATCTCCGTTGGACTTGTTGGTCTAGTGTGCTGCTTGTACTCGTCCTAGATAGACGTTATGTTATAACTCATTGTTTATCGTTTAATATGTATAGGTTCAGCCTAAATGTACTAATGTTATATGTTGCCGAGGTACTACCACCATATTTAACCACACAATGATCAATCAGTTCTCCTCTATTTCACCTTTGTGATCTATTGAAAATATCATTTTTTGCCTGGCTCGGGGGAAATGGTAGTAATCGCCATTTTGGAAACAGAATTTCCAATGAAGAGTTTTGGACAGTGACAAACGCTGCATTGAGAATTTGCCTTAATGAATGTCGAAGACTATAAAACTGCCGACGAGGATCGGAGAAATGTCTGGAAGCATCTGAAAAGTGAATGAGAATGCTCGTTTACTTAATAATGCAATCATTAATTCGATTCGGATCCTCAAGATTCATGGTCAATTATGGGCAAATTGGTTTCAATTAAAAATCACTCTGGCGTCTTGATTGGGGTATTAGATTTAAATAGAACTTCCGATCGCTTTCTGTTCATTAGAAATGATGAGTTATGAAAGTGATTACCAGAGGGTTTCTATTGAGAAGTTTGGTTTTGATTATAAGAACATGAATGAAATATCATTATGGGGGAGCAGCAAATCACAACAAATTTATTATTCTGTTTTTTATATTTGTTTAGATATTCC